TCTTCTCTGCCAGGAGAGAGAAGACAATGACGTAGGAGCTACAAGCTCCAACGGTGGTACCTGCGTAAGTGCTTGGAGGATCTGGAGGAGAGAGAAGTCAGGAGGCTGGCGGAGTCTCCAAGGGCAGACACCAGACCGGAGACAACTCTTATGAGGTGGGCAGCACTTGGAACGGCAGTGAGAGAAGACAAAGGCACCAGGAGAAGGCTGCTGGCAGGGTGATTACTGGGGCATAACTGGGGCATAGGAAGCTGCTTATGGCAGTTCATGTTGGAGAACACAGCATAGGAAAGGTGAAAATGGTATGGTTAGGGTCACAATGCCAAGGAGCGCTCTGGATTTCAGCATATAGGAAGTGGGGGGAAACCGAACATGGGACAGGGAGAAAAATTCATGTTTCTGAAAGATGGTCTTCGACAACTAGGAAAAGGAAAGGTGGCCTGGGAAGTGGACCATGTGTGTGATGGCCCACAGAGAGGCAATCACTTGACAAGTCCAGGTAGAATCTGACTCGGTAATTTCAGAGATCAGAAAAGTAAAGTCTGAGACATTGTAAGAATGAACAGCTTTGGGGCGCCTGGGTGGCTCAGTTGTTAAGCGTCTGCCTTCGGCTCAGGTCATGGTCCCAGGGTCCTGGGATCGAGCCCCGCATCGGGCTCCCTGCTCCGCGGGAAGCCTGCTTCTCCCTCTCCCACTCCCCCTGCTTGTGTTCCCGCTCTCCCTGTGTCTCTGTCAAATGAATAAATAAAATCTTTAAAAAAAAAAAAGAATGAACAACTTTGATTATCTTATCCAAAGCATCCACATGCCCACCTCAAGCACAGAATCGATCTCTTCTTATTTTAATTACTTCTATATCTGGCTTCTGACATCAGAGATAAGATTTAGGTAGTGCCTTTAAGATTGTTATGTTTTGTTTTTTCAGATTTTATTTGTCAGAGACAGAGGTAACACGGGCAAGCACCCATGCACAAGCAGGGAAAAGTGGCAGGCAGAGGGAGAAGCAGGCTCCCTGTTGAGCTAGGAGCCCGATGCGGGGCTCTATCCCAGGACCCTGGGATTATGACCTGAGCCAAAGGCAGATGCTTAACCGGCTGAGCCACCCAGGCGTCCTGATGTTTATGTTTTTTATCCCAAGTGCCCTGCATTCACAAGAGGAAGGACCTCAGTAAATGCTGCAGAATGCTCAAAGGAAGGAATAGCAAGAGGACAGCTGGGCTGTAAGCCGGAGGATAAAAGAGTGGGCAGGTGCCACCAGGGCCAAAATGGATGTTGGGAAGGAAATATCCTTCTAGGTAAGAGCTCAGTTTGGGATGTTCTAACATTTGAGAGAAGGTGGCAAACCAAGAAACAAAAAAAAAAAGGGAGTTCCTGGTAGATGTCACTTATATTTCAGATCTACATTTTTCCTTATTGTAGAAGGGCTGAGAGTGGGCTCTAAGTATTTTCTAAATTACTACTTCAGTTATGTCAGATATTCTTTAATACTGGGATGCTATGTTTTTTTTTTCCATACCACAATCAAAGTAAAGTGATGCAGTTTCTTTTGACCCGTCTTCACAGAAAATAGGTACACTATCGGCTGTTAAGAGTGGCATCAGAAAGTTGAGGTGAAGAGTGCCAGCTGTGGAGCCAAATTCCGTGGGTTCAAATCCTGCTTCCACAACTCACTACTGTGTCACTGTGGGCAGCCTACTTAATCATTCTCCGAGTCCCCATGGGGCAGTTGTGAAAATTAAATGAACAAAAAGTGCTTAGAACAGTGTCTGTTACGTTGAAATCACCGAGTAATTGTTGTACCTTTTTATATATCTGATAAGTTGATAGTTTTTAGCCTAGGTATTTCAGAATAAAATTAGAAGCCACAAATCCATGACAAGTTTCAAATTCTTAACAAATTAACTTCCAAGTCAGAATTTAGTAATAGCCAGTCAATATGAAAGCAGTCATTCACATAACACAAAACCAACAAATATTAAATGAATAAATAGACAGTGAATGCTTTCTGCACTTAACATAATGGTGCCCTAGCTTAAGAAAATCCATTCTGAAGGTGTAGGAATCTCTTTTCTTTCATCTAACTGCAGATTCACTCAGATGTTCCCTGAAAACCCCATGTACTTTTCCAGCTCTGCGGCCTCTGCGTCCCCTTCCTCTGCTTAGAGTCACCTTCCAGTCATCTGGTTTATTTACTCTTAGACATGCTTCCGGGCCTACCTGAGATATCATTGCCCTAGCTTTAGTGCATCTCTGACCCACCCTGACCCCACCCCAACCAGATAATACATTTGTAAAGGTGCATTCACCAGATCCTTACACAGGTAAACAACTAGTATACAGTGTCCCATTTCTTCTTGCAGCCTCTGCGTGGCATGGGTCACGTCTTGCTTTGTATTCCCAGAGCTCAACGAATGCCATCATTATACTCGACTACAAAAACTTTGCCTTTAGACAAGGATTATTGTTAATCTCAACCTCCCTTCATACCCCTAAAACAGGATCAGTAAATACCCAACTTGAGTGAAGTATATCCATCTTTTCACTCTACTCTGAGGAAAACAATTCCCAAATAAACAGTAAATTCAACTTGTCCAATGATGTAGAAAGAGACTCAAGGCTACATTTCTCTAGGCAACAGTTTTCCCAGCAGGATAACATAATGCTAGACAAGACAACTTTTACCAAATAACTGACATATTTCTCTATATGGCTTTTCCTACATTGGTTAAAATCCTATCTGATTTTTCTCGAAGTTGGAAGGATAGCCTTCAAGTTCAATTCAACCTTCATGCAAAGTGGCATGATTGCAGGAAGAACCTCGACTACTCCAAAAAAAAAAATGTATATATACTGGGTAGAGCCCTAGAACATGACCCATACTGTTAGAGAATTCTGTCACACCAGATTGAGAAAAATGTCTAATTTAAGGTATTCGACACAAAACAAAATAACATTCATGTAAATAAACACAAAACATTCAGTCCTTGGGATGAATGATGGCCCACTACTCAAGTATATCCAAAAGTAGCATTTTAGAATTGCAAGCAGGTAGGTAATTCACCTAGTCTTACGGACTCATCATCAGGGTATGCAGGAAGTGACTGTCACACAGCATTACGATGGGGCAGAAGCAATATAAAAAGCCAGGCTTTTAATACTGCAACTTAGTAATATGGTTTCCTTTTTTACTACTTGCAACTTAATAATGTGGCTTAACAGACAATTATTGAACATATGAACTGACGCTGAAATGTAGTCTCTGAAAATCCAATTCCTTTGTATTATGTTCAAGGGTCCGTAATATATCCAAATTTATGTTCTTGTTGGTTAGCTTTGATTTCTCATCACTAAGTCAGGAATATTTAAATAATTTAGCTTAGGGAACGTGGGTGGCTCAGTTGGTTAAGCGTCTGCCTTCAGGTCAGGTCATGATCCCAGGGTCCTGGGATCGAGCCCTGCATTGGGTTCCCTGCTCGGCTGGGAGCCTGCTTCTCCCTCTGCCTGCCACTCCCCCGCTTGTGCTCTCTCTCTGACAAATAAATAAAATCTGGGAAAAAAAAAAATTTAGCTTAAAGTGTGAAAATTGGGAGAGGGATTAACAACAATCCCACACTTACCAAGGCAACTAGGGATTGAACTTGCCCGAGGACGAGGCCACATACATTTTAGAGGTTTCTCTTCTCCCTGGCACTACCTGTCTCAGGCAATGCCTTCTCTACCCAGGCAATCTCTAATTCAGGTCTTCACACCCAGGAAACCTACTTCAGAAGCCAAAGTTTCTCTTCTTTAAAGACACACAGCAAAGAAATGTGTACCAATTCCCCTGGCCATCCTTCAGTCTTGACAGTGAAGCCTGAACTAGCATAATCACAGCTGTCGTGTCCTGCGGTCTGTTATGTCAGATGCATGGAGCCTCGAGCAGCTCATTTAACTCTCACAACAACCCCAAAAGGCAGCCATTGCTTTTCCCATTTTAAAGAATAGGAAACAGACTCAGATTAAATACATTTCGCAAGTTCACAGAGCTAGTAAATGACAGAAGAGCATCTTAAATCTTCAGTACTCAAATGTATGTTTTTCCATTATACTATGGTGCCTCAAAAACTTTGCAGAAGCCCACTGTTGCATCTGATGTATACCACTAACACTATTCAGCTCATAGTTCCTTACCCTGAGCCAGGTAAAAAGTGTTACCACTAATTTCCATAAGCTAGGGAAGGGACTTGGTTTTGCTTCTAATTGGCTTTTTTAAGAGTTGCTTCATGAGTTTAAATTTTTGTTTCAAAGTTTTTTCATTACTCTGTCATACCTTAATTATTACTAATGACATTAATTGTCTTATTAAATCATTAAGAGATGCCTAATGGCCTTTGGGCAGACTAGGAGTTAGAAGTTCTAGTCCAGTTCTCTTTTTCCAAGAGCACAACAATCTACCTTGCTATAAAAATAGACACAAGGATGCTTAGTAGGTAAGGCATTTCCTTTAAGGGGTAATGAAAATTCTGAAATTATAGTGATTGTTGCACAATTCTGTGAGTATAAACTAAATCATTGAATTGCAGACTAAATAGGTGAATCTTAAAGTGTTAATTATTTAATAAGGATGTTAAAAAAAACACTTAAGAGACTTGATCAGTCAAATATTAATTACCTAAGAGAAAGTAATTAAGGAATACTAATTTTACCATATCATTTTTGTTCTGTATTTACCTCAAATGTTAACCTAATTCCTACTATTGAAGTATTAAGTTTAACAAGAGTAAATGCAGACTTTATGAAGCCCTCATAAATATCAAGACTCATAAAATCAGGCAATGATAACAGGCACTAGAAAGGGGTAAGTAATAAGCCTCTTAAATAAGGATCAGAAGACATACACACTCTGAAAACTAAATGACAATTTACAAAACCATTTTTTGGAAACCCATTTGGTATTCAGAGCAGGAGTTACAAACACATTTTAAAAAGTTCTTCCCACCAAGACTATAAGGACTACTTACCTTGTGACAAGGAACCAAGCAATCTGACTGAAGTCTGGAGAGGGTCTCATATATGTTTTAATATGTGGCATAGCATTGCTGCGGCCAGATGTGTCAGCCGACCATTTGCTAGTGACAGGAAAGACCCATTACCAGTAAGAAAATATAAACCTGTCATAATCCTAGTATTAGGAAACTTCATGAAAAGCAAAATCCTATAATTTAAATAGTGGGTACACAGTTCTCTGATGAGACCTCTAATATTTTATTAAACTCTGTCTGAGAGCAGTATAATAAAACACTGTAACCCTTTGGTATCTAGCCTTACCGTTTTTGTGGTTTTTTTGCCAGTAAGACATGTATATATTCATGTCTATTACTTCTGTTGTGTTTTCAACTGCATATGTGCATGTCTTGTCTCCTACGTGGACTATGAGCTCCTTAAAAGGAGGAATCATGCTCCCACAGTGCATTACCAAGTACGGGCTCAGGAAGTTTGTTGAAAAAAAGTACAAAATGGGGAAAAATGCCAACAGGATGAATATTAAAATGATGTTAAAAAGCAGGAGGATGGGGCACCTGGGTGGCTCAGTGGGTTAAGTGTCTGCCTTCAGCTCAAGTCATGATCTCAGGGATCATGGGATCGAGTCCTGCATTGGGATCCCTGCTCAGCAGGGAGCCTGCTTCTCCCTCTCCCTCTGCTGCTCCCCCTTGCTTTTGTGTTCTCTGTGTCAAATAAAATCTTAAAAAAAAAAAAAAAAAGGATAATTTGGAAACACTTCAGTCCAAGGCTAACATTTACCTGTCAGTATTGCAGGACTGAGGTTCTGTAGGAAGAGAGGGCCTACCATCATGAGGCAACAATCCTTTCTTGCAAAAAGGCTAAGACCAGAATTAGGATTATGTAGATTGTTCCTTCAATCATTAAATTCACTTAAATGACTCGTGAAAGGAGCTCATCGATATAAAGAAATGTTCTCTGTAAGGAATAACCTCCCAACGGGGGCCCACAGGGACACACGGACGGGCCCACAAGGACACAGTGAATTAGCCTGCAAGCTACTGAGATGCAATCTGCCTTTGTTTCCAGCCGCCAAGTGTAACACATGCCTGAAGCAAGCAGGAAACTGCACTGGCCTAGAACAGTCAGAGTGTGCCCACTGGAACAAGAGGAGGATGAAAGACAATCCCTTCACCTGCTCATTCAACCATTTACTGAGCCCTTACAACAAACCAAATACGATCCCATGTCCTGGACAAAGAGTGGTGTGGACGCCACCCACGGCAAGCTTGCAGTCATACAGTACGTGCATGTACATGTGCAGACAGAAGAATTATAATCTGGAAATATGAGCTAAAATGTTGCTGAATCACTATGTCGTACACCTGAAACTAATGTAAGACAGTGTGTCAATTATACTCAAGTAACATTTTTTAAAAATGCTCCTTACATAAATTCTAAATTACCCATCATCATCTTTATTTTTTTTCTTTGAGGGCCAATATTTAAATACAAATCTCACAGATCAGTTTTATCCTTTGGTATTAAAAACCTATTTCAAATAATGTTCAAAACCTTGTTTTAAGTTATTTCTATCACTAACATATGCAGATGAAAAAATACAGCTGTATTATGTAAGGTTCTTTTTTAAAAGAACACACTGACATAAATAACATTCATATTTCTGAAGAAGCAATAGCAGCATTCTAAACCAATTACTTACTGAAAATAGGAATGGAGCCAGTTCTGTTTTTCAGCTGTCTGGATGCTATAGGGAAGAGAACCCCCAGCTTTTAAAAGAAGAAAACAAGTATTACAGAAAATAATTTTAGGATCCTTCATTAAGAATCTACAGTAAACACTGAAAAAACAAAACCACTTCCTATTTCATCTTATGGAAAGAAAGAAAAGGTCTACACTTGTATTAGGTATGTTCCCTCAGTGGGGTTTCCTTTCTGAGGGATACATGTTAAATGGTAAATGTTTACAATCTGAAAAGAAAGAGGTATTAATCACTTGGGGGTGGTAATTTAAACATCAATAACAGCACAGATTCGAAGTATCTGAAAAACTACCTGAAGAACTCTGGCCTATCCTGCAGTCCTCATGCAGGCGAGAAATCCTTACCCCATTTTGGTCTGGAGCATCTCCATTTCTGCCCAAGAGCTGGACACTTGGGAAGGTAGACTTAGATGAAAACTCAGTTCCTGCTTCCTTTACCCTTTACATTCTGCTATTTCCAAGCAGAGTTTGTATTAGCTAAACATTCTTACAAATGGAATAGAGTCATCACTAAAATTAAAATATTCAGGGGCACCTGGGTAGTACAGTTGGTTAAGTGTCTAACTCGGTTTCGGCTCCAGTCACGATCTCAGAGTCATGAGATCGGGGCCTGCATTGGGCTCCCTGCTCAATGGGGAGTGTGCTTGAGATCTCTCTCGCTCTCTCCCCACCATCCCCCCCCCGCTCCTCCTGCTCATGTTGTCTCTCTCAAACATATAAATCTTAAAAAAAAAAAAGTTCAGTAAACAGTTGCTTTTAAAACGGAATGCTAAAATCCATATTCCTGCATCAAAAGTAGAGATACAGTTCCAAGTGGAAACACAATTAGTAACCAGTTTTTGTTCATCTTAGAAAGAAGGAAAGTTCTATTGTGGATTCACCACTGACTTTCCAAACACATGTTGGAACTTCTCCATAAATAATCTATATCCCAAAAAGGGCTTTAAATTTCTGAGTCATCACAAGGCATGTCGTATCCTCTACTACAAATAACTAAAAAACGTATTTAGGGCCAGTTACAAAATAGTTTTATGGAAAACACCGTGTTCTTCCCCATTAAAAAGCACATTTTGAATGAATCTAGTGTATCAGAAGTGGAGAAAGGAGAAGACAGAAACCAACCAAAACCTCACCATGTCTGAGTCTCAGTGAAATGATTTTGGCTTTGCCATTAGGTAGCAGCAAATGGGCTGATACACTACACTCCAAACCTTACTAAGATTTTTCTGGCAGGGTCACATCTAGTTTGACAAGCAATAAATGGACTAAATTAGTCTAATTCAGAGCATTCTGCTTCCAGCCACAAGCAAATGCCAATCAGATTTCTTTTTTCCAGAGACAAACCCTACTTGGGTTTTTGGTTATTGCCTCCTGAATGTGTTATCTGGAGGGCTGCTGGATTCCAAATAAAAGTTCAGTGTCTAGCACTGTATAAAGAAAATAGCAAAGTTGAAAGTCGCCTACAAAATCATCCTAGGCATTTACAGATGAAGTGCTTTAGAAAGGACAAGTATCAACTAGGTAACACCAAAGGTTCATCCCAAAACTAAGCAGAAGTTCTGTACCTTAAATATACCTGTGATTCAAAATTGGAAGAACCACACAGAGCCACAGACACAAGCAGGGAGAATATGGAGAGAGATCAGAGAAAGGCATGTCAGAATTTCTCTGGAAAGGCAGGACACAGCAGGGAAAGGTGGTTTTATTCGGACAGCCAACCAACCTGTTGGACAACCAACCTGTTGTTGGCAGAAGGGACCACCTTACTTGTGGAAATGAGAACAAGTCCTCACAGTGTTACTGTGAGGATTCAGTAACACACTAAAATTGCCCAAAAGCATGGAACCATCTTTGGGACATAGTACTACTCGATATTACCTATTTCCATGATTCTTAGCCAATTAAGGGAAAATATTCTCCAAATTTCTAACCAGTTCTTTTCTCAAGGAGAATGGCATTTTTATTACTTGTTTTAAAAAGTTTACCAGGGCATTTATGAAAGATACACCAAAAAAATGCAACTGAGACAGTCTCCAACAATTACCTGGATATCCTTCTAAGCTGGTTCGCACATTTTCCACAGAAGGATAGATCTAAAAATAAAGGAAAAAAAATTTTTAAAAAAAGGAAAAATACAAAATAACACTCAAAATGTACCATGTTAAAGAAACTTTCTTAAAAAGAATGTTTTTAAGATGAAAATCTCAATTAGAAAGATTTCATTTAGGGATGCCTGGGTGGCTCAGTTGGTTAAGCGTCTGCTTTCGGCTCAGGTCATGATCCCAGGGTCCTGGGATCGAGTCCCACATCAGGCTCCTTGCTCAGCAGGGAGCCTGCTTCTCCCTCACCCTCTGCCGCTACCCCCCAGCTCATGCTCTGACAATTAATAAAATCTTTAAAAAAAAAATTCATTTAAAAACTTAGAAAATGCACTTTAAATTTTAAGAATTTCCATCTTATGAAAAAATGTAACTTCTAGCAACCACAGGAAGCATATATATTCAATGAAAAAACTTCTATTTCAGTTTTTCTCTTAAAAATGCCAAATTAACACTGAGTTCAATGCAAAATTAATTATTAATTCAAAAGTCTCTAATTAATAATGCTCATAATTCTGCTGGCAAGGCTTATCAAATATTTTTTTCTTTGACTTGAGAACCTGAAGGAAGGAATGGAAAAATCACAGGCTAGTATGTAGCTGAAATGGAGCTCTGCAGAGAGCAGCACCTTCCCAGCACCAGAGGATTCAAGGGCCACTTGATCACACACGATGGTGCTAATGTACTGTTGTTTCCATGCAAGAATCACTGATTAAAACCTCTATGGGGGGGAGGATGGATTCTCATGCTTCTCTGGGACTAGAGAATAAACACGATCAAGTGAGGTAGGACAGGCACTTACCAGATGAAGAGGAACGGAACTTCTCCCTGGGGTCCGGCTTTCCTTCCCCAGCGTCACCAAGCTTTCTTTAAACTCAGAACACAACCATTTCGAGTCATCAGCTCCCATAGACCCAATGCTTGAAAACTGACCTACTATTGGCCAAGACTCTCCTTTAGGACAGGCATGCTCTTTCAGAAGCTGTGAACAGAAAAATTTTTAACAATTCAGAATATGATTTTCTGTCCTTGGAACCCCTAATCAACAGAAAAATGCTGAAAATATTACATATCAATTTCATACTTTTTTCTTTGGAAAATATTCTTTAAATACTAAAAATATTTTAATGGAGTAGGTGGACAGAAGTATTCTTCTAAAATTCTTTGATTTGTATTAAAGCAAAACCAATTTTCTTAAAAGATCCCTTTTAGTAGGAATGTCAGATAAACCACTGACCTGCCATATGAAATGAGATTTTTGCCTTGAAATAATACCTAAGAAAATACAAACTACTGTATATTTTGACTTCCATCATTTGAAAGAGATTTAACACTTGGGCTCCACGTAGTGATGCTCTAAAAAATAAATAAATAAATAAAACAGTGTATTTATGTATATATACAGAGCACCCTAAGCACTACAGGGAGCCTGATCTGCATTTCCCGCTTTGATACTTAACACAAAGCTGCAGAAACAACTCAAAAATATTTGGAAATTTTATCTACTTAAACATGTACTGTGTGTTTACTACCAAGAGGCTGAAGAAAAATAAGCCACAGTTCCTGTCCCAATGGAGCGCATTGTTTAATTTCATATGTATTATTTTTCTTAACACAGCTTTAGTATTATAAAAGCCTAGTTCTCAGTTTCTGCCCTCCTGCAGCATGGTGTAAGAAATAGGACGGAACTGACAGCTACAAGACCCAGTTTCTGTTCTGGTGCTCAGCCCCTGATCGGCTACCTGGCCCTGGACATGTCCCTGGGCTTCCATTTATAGGTCAGTGAAACACAAGTCTGACCACTTGCGTCTTCCCCGGAAGGCAGCTGTGCTGCAACAGGAGCTTGTGAGAGGTGGTCTGGAAACCAAGATGCTCTTTATCCTCCAGGAAGACCGATTCTACACACCACGTGCTGGCATCTAGCCTGTCTCAACCATCCCGTCACAAACTGAGAGCCACCAACCAGCACACTGAAGGCTCAACATGAGCCTTGCCTTCTTTAAGTTCGTCTAATCCTTAGGCAATTTTCTGAGTACTGTTGTTATGCCATTTTATAGAGGAGACGCGGGTCATATGACTTGTTAACAGGTAAGGATTTGAACCCAGGTCTGGGAATCTACCTCCAAGCTATCCACTCAGCCAGTGTGCTCTAATGCCTTCTCTAGGCCAAGAAATGAGGATGTTGGCTTCCAGATCTTATGTTTTCAGCTGTGGCCTCATTTCAAAAAAGCAAATTAAGATAAAGTTTCATTAACCAAAGGTTAATTCTTACATGACAAATACTTCACAGAAAAAGGTAAAGCTTTTACGAGAGCCACATAGGGAATTTATTAGTGTCATTAGTGTATCTCCTAAACAGATTAAGAAAATCGTCATCTTTAACTTGTTTGCTGTTTTAATTTGTTAGAGACTTTTCTTCATCATTTTCATACCACCAGCAAAGGCCTCTTCTGTAATAACTCTTAAAGGCCCTGGTTTAGTAAACAAAATACATTATAGTACTATTTACTCAATTGTACTTTTCTGTTCTTTGTTGAATTTGTATGTTAAAAACCCTTCAGATCCTGAAATCAAAAGCTACAAGAGCTGCATGAATGAGAAATCTATAATAACTAAAAAAGTCCTTATACTTTTGCCATTTAGAGCAGTCTACACCTCTAAAAGACAAAACATTAAAAAGTAATTACTGAAAACTATAACCAGACAATTTATCAAGAGCCTGTTCACCCAGAATTGTGCTAGTTATAATGAAGCTGCCATCAAAATATACAATTATAAATGAATATATATTAATTTAAAAAATAGTAAAAATTGTTACCTTTCTAAGCCTAAAATGTCCCCAATTATCTTTCTGACTTCCTTGAAAGCGCCCTGGGGTTGATCCAATAAGATAAACACTAAAAGGATATAAAATACAAGTTATAGAACAGAGTGATGTAATTTGTGGACCCCCAAACCACAAAATACACACAAAAACTAATGTTATCATGAGATGTTCTAAGAGATCACCTATTTTTTGAGGTGACTCCTCAGAACAGTAATCGTTACTCAAACTAATTTTTAAGCACATCAACTCATGGTGGAACATTCACGAGGTATAAGGTGCCAGCAATGAAATCAGTCACTTTAGGAGTACTCCAGAGGGAGGCTTATGGTGAGCAAGACAGTTACTGGCCTCCACTTTAGCACCTCAGACCTAGGAGATGCAGAGAGTGAGAGAATCTGCTCTCATGTTATGAAGGACAGCCAAGTATTCTACCTCTTTCCACTGCAGATACTGTGGGGCTCTCAAGGTATTCACCCACTTTAAGAATCCCGAATTGCTAAACACCACATACTTGGTTTCAGAGAGATCATGCTTGTGGATGATATCTATCCACTCCTTGAGTGAAGGAGCATTATAAGCCATCAAGTAGCTGATGAGATCAGCTTTAAAATGTGTTGTTGATTCTCCTGATGTGTGGGTTCCATGGATAATTCGTGGGTATAAGGGGCTCAACCATATTCTGGAACAGAAAAAAAATAACTGAACAGTCAGGAAAAGAACTGATTACAATGATACCTGTGTTGACTACATATTCACCCTAAGGAAGAGGCGAATCACACTTCCCGTGTCCACATGGTAAGTACAGGATCCTTAGGGAACATGAAGCATAAATCCCATCACACCACTCCAACGGCTTCCATGATATTCAGAATGATTTTTCAATACCTCACCAGGAATTTAGGACCCAGTAAAATCGGGCTTTGCCCACCTCTCAACTCAATGCTCTTTGCTCCCTCTTTGACCACACCTTCCTTATTCTTTACCCTCGCCCCCTACCTTCATACTGCTAAGATCCTGTGACAACGGTTAATAGCTGCACTAATTGTCACAGCAAATCCATACCACCTGTAGTAACCCCAGCAAGCTACACCCATGTAGCTCTTCAGCCAAATGGGAAAAAGTTACCTACACTAAGAAAAATGTATATACAAATCTATTTACAATAAATAAACCCATTTTCATGATATATATGCTATAGCCGTTTGAGATATTTGCAGATCCTGTACTTTTCTGGCATCTGCAATGAGTAGATACCACATTTAATGCTATTACATTTATACTAACCTCAGACTTTCAAATAACCTAGTAAACAACATATTAAAGACATCTTTCATTTCGCCAATTCTCCTCAAAGGAGGACAATTCCGTCACCCAAACTTCTATACACCCACAAGTGGCAAAAGCATATCTAAACCCAATCCTTCTATGATGCGCTCCATGACAGATCACAAACAAGTATGGCTTCAAACCCCGTGCTCAGTTTCAACTGCAAACTGATTTTGCAGCTGAAACTGCAAAAATAACCAACCGGGTTAGCAGTCCTGCATCACAGGTCATGTGTGCCTCACACGTGAGATAATGAACAACGTCCAGGCTTAAACAAGCACTAAGGATATTTTGCTGTTACTACCTTTCCGCTTCTGTGGCTATCCCACTGCAGTGCTACCCATTAAGCCCAAAGAGAAACTGCCCAACTCCTCTCACCTGGCAACCCTCAAAGGAGACTGGCGAGATGCAGGCCACCAGGGCAGGAAGCATCCAGAATCATAAGGGTCCTGCACGTACATCTTCTGAAACGCATACGTTTCTAGCAGGGTGGCATGTCATACCTTCCCTTCCCACCTTGAGGAGACCCCTTGTACAAGGGGTAACATGTGCGACAAGGACTACAGCCCAGGTTCTGGGGCCAGATCTGCTTCTAACTGGCTGTGTCATTTGGCACCAGCCCAACCACCTCTGTGAGCACCTGCCTCTCTACGTGTAAAATGAGCACACTGGGCTGGATGGATGTGTCAGTCTCTCCCTCACAAATAGCAATTCAGAGCCCACAGGCTGCTGGACTCCTCCTAGATTACAGGCTCACTCACAACCATGTCTGGATGAGGAACAGGACAGATGACGACTTTCTAAACCAGGATTCGGAGATGTGAGGTGTTTTTAGCACTTGACAAAGTAAAATGTGAAATTATCGTGGGCCAAATAATTTTAAAAGTGAGAAATTAAAAGGCAGACCAAGCAGCAGCTGAAAAGGATGGCTGAAACACTTGTATAGCAGAAGAGGACCAGAGCATAACTAGCAGACCAATCATGAGAATTACACAAAAGGACTACTTTTAAACATTTAAAAAATTATAACCCACAACACAAAAATGCAAATTTGAGATTAGAATCTAGACTCACTGTGGGATAATAGTATCCTACTTGAAGGTGGCTGGCAGAGAGAAATTGGAGATTTCATACCCTTGATACTTTAAGTTTGAAACCATGTGAAGCTAGAAACTAGTTAATTTAAAGAATTAAAAAAGAAAAAAATTTTTTCCATAATGGAAAAAAAACCTGAACACCTGAATCATTATCCTTAATCCCTTCCCCCACAGCAGCCATCTTGGAAAGACCTAAAGAAGCATGGCTCAAGCTTCTGACTCCAGAAAGAGCTGGGGGGCATGGGTGGGATTCTTTCTTTGAGCCACATAAGACTCATTGCCAACTTGATAAACTCCATTATGACTCATGAGTTTCAAAACCCAACCCAGCAGCTAAGCAGTTGTAGGAGTAGCAAAGGTGTAGTTAACTCTAAATTCAGTTGATCAAGAGTCCTCCTGTGGCTGAGGCTTTTCGACAGTGGTAATCCCCTCCACCCTGAACCAGCTGGAATTAACTGCATTTTGAGAAGCAGATTTTAAGTGGGACACTTGAAAACTGGAACATGTTTACAGAAAAACTATCAGCACTGGGGGTGGGGCTCTAAGCCACTTGCTAGGGGAGTGAAGAGAGAGCTAGAGATGTTGGGCTCAGGGAAAAGCCTGCTTTCCAAACTAGAAGGACTGTCTGAAAGGGGAGAGGGTACTCTTGTTCTACACAGCAGTGGAGTCGAACCAAGCCCACAGGACGGAGTCTAGAAGGTCCTGCATTTCAGTTCAACCTAAGATGTGGCTTGGGCTCTGCCAGAGCTAGCATGTCCTGAAATTAAAGAGTTCTACCCAGCCTGGGCAGTGACAGGGAGCGTAAGGCTGGGGAGGAGGAGAGTGGAGAATATGGGAACTATGAAAGGTGCTAGATGAATGCTTGAGTTTCTTCTAACCCTGGAGAATGCAGAGATATACAAAATGGCTTAAAAAAATGGAAATGAAAGCCAACCAGAAGGAAGAGCTTACCAAGTGGGAGAACAATGCTTAAAACTTGATTTGAGCAAATCCCCAAAACAAAACAAAAAAACCAACCCCCTCTTCTAAAAAGGATTCAAAGACTAGATCTAGCATAAGTATACCAAGGACAAAGGATTAGTAATAACAAAAAAAGCACGAAAAAATTTCAAATTCAATTTTTCTCTTGGTGATTCATGACCATATGACCATATTAAAGGCTTAGACACCAGATTTCTTTCATGGAAAAATAAACTGAGGATGACAGGAAGTTTTAGCATATGATTAACCACTAAGTTTCCCTTCACTACCATTTGGGAAATGGCAAGCAAGAGTATAGTGGGTTCCGGGGCAAGTTACTGATGGGTCTCACCAAAAAAATGGGTTCAGACCTTACATTTTATACCCTCTTTCCTGCCTCAGATCCTCTGCATATGCTGTTCCCTGTGCCTGGCTGCAGTGTGTATAATCCCATTTTTGTAAAAGCTAGGGAAAAAAAAAAGTATTTCTGTTTACACATGTAATAGCCATGGATGTGTATGTACTAAACTGTTAGCACTCGATACTTCAAGAGAGTCGGCCTGGGGCAGGGCAGTAGTAAAATACTATTTCCGTGTAGGTCTCTTTTCTATGCCACATGTGAGGGTGTTCTTTTTTTTTTTTTTAAAACAGTATAAGAAAAAGGGAATGCCACCCACAGCCACTGCTGTGAAGTAACTAGAAGCCTACAAACCCCTGAGTCTTCTGGTGCCAGTCAGCATGGATGAGGTTGGAGGTGTGGATGACAAGCCGGAGGCCTTCTTCGTACAGCAGTAACATCATTTTCCTTTAAGAACAGAGAAGAGACCAAAAGCATTAACACTACTTTTAAAATATGTACTATTTTTCTAGTGCAAATATCACAGCTAAAGGATTTCTTAGACCCTTCTAATACTCAAACTTAACATTTATAATCTTCATTTCTTCTACACATTATTAAAATCAAAGTCTATTTAAGAGATAGGTAGAAAACCACCTTCCAAAATGCTCTGAGTATCGGTAAATGAATTTTTGCCTCATCCTGCCCACATGGTCAAGCCTGACACTCCGAGCCCTTACCCTTATCTATTATCTGCTACTATTCGGGACGATGGAAAGCTTCTTGTCCAGTGTTTTTCAAAGTATGGTCACAACCTTCTGCTACATCATGGCTAGCATTTTTTTAGGAAGTTGCAATAAAGGGGCGCCTGGGTGGCTTAGTCAGTTAAGCATCTCACTCGATTTTGGCTTAGGTCATGATCTCAGGGTCGTTAGGATCAAGCCCCACGCTGGGCTCTGTGCTCAACAGAGAGTCTGCTTAAGATTCTCTCTCCTTCTGCCCCTCCCGCTTACGCTCTCTAAAATACATATTTCTTAAAAAAATTGCAATGAAGTTAGAAACTGAAAAATATATTGTAGATACTTAAATAACTGGTTTTAGCACATGAGTATGGACACGTGTAACAGACTAAAATGTACGCTGTATTTTTTAATGTGAGCTGTGGCTTAGAAAAGTTTGAAAATGCTTCACTATCCTAAGACTGATCTTTTCTCATACTCCACAAATGCCATACTCATCACCAATGCATTTCTGGCCTTGAAATAAATCTTTCCTTTTCTTCATTTACTCAAATCAGACCCAGTTGAATCCTCCCTTTGCCACGGGCCTTCCTTCCCCAGGCCTCCAGTCATCAGAGTTCTCATATTTTAATTCTAGCGAGAGAAGGAATAGGATACAAATAAGAGCTTTCTACTTGAAGCTGAAAGACCTGTTCCAATCATCAGTTGGAGGCCACAGGACCCTAAGGAAGTCACTCTGTCCCTCAGTTTCTCATTTACAAAACAAAGGGTAAACCCCTTCCCTGCTGCATAGGGTTGCAAGAAGGAAATGTAACATGCGTTCGTGAAACAAACTCTCACACGTGTGCATTTCCAGGACTCCTTCAGTGTCTTGCTTCATTTTTTCATCTACTGCTGGAGGGCTTTTGGCCTCCCAATTGTTTCCTAATTATTTCAGGAATCTAAGTTCTCTCCCTGTAACTAGAAATTCACTCCTCAAGACAGTCACTCTGCCTTATTTCCACTGGGGCCAAAATGCTACTTAATACCTACTGATGTCAGTTCACGCATGGGGGGCGAAATGAACCACTGGTTCTCTCCAAACCAACAATACCGTGAACAGTATTTGGACAGGATGAGGTTAACATAAAAAGATAATGCAAAGAATAGACAATGAGATATTTAGCTCTTGCCAAAATGAGAAGTTAACCGAAGCTGGCAAACAGTAAGTTAATGCAAAGCTGGAGAAGTGACAGCTGCTGAACCCATCTTTTCTCCATTTATGAAACATGCTCCCTGAAATCTGGGCAGATTTACACACACAGTTGCCAAATTAGCAGCTGACTGTAATTAAGAATAAGGCCAGTTATGAATTCAAGATGTAAGTTTCACAAATATTTCCGTTAATCAAGGCATCAATTATCAGGAAAATCATGTACTGCTGTCAGTGAATCCTACCCAACGGAATTGGGAACTATTCTAAGGAGAGCCATCATCTCGGACAAAATGGCATGAGCTAATAAAAATCACAATTAAAAATGGATAAAGGATAAGAAAGGGGGTCTCCCTTGAAGAAACGCTGCCCTCCCTATCACCTGTTAAGTTGTGGGGGCAGCAAAAGGGATTATTTCCCAATCTGGAGCTACTCGTGTAAAGCGGGGAGAACCCAAAGGTCTGCAGAGCACCTACGTGCCAGGCACGCCAGCAGCTCTCCAGAACAGCTACACACCAAATCCCCACGGCAATCCAGGAGGTGTTAACAGTCGCCTTCTACAACTGCAGATCTACGGCTGGGTAGGCAATGGGAATGATCAAGGTTCCCGAATGAGCCAGAAGAACTTGTCTGGACCACATGGGCTGGGATCTTCCTCTCACTGTGCACAGTTTCCACAGGGAAGAACGGGGCCGAGGACACTTCACACAACTGGTGAGTGGGTGGACGGGCAGACAATATGGTCTAGGGGAGATGAAGGACTAAGTCATGTGTGCTGGGCGGCCGGCTACAGAAGCAAGCAGAAAGGGGTGCCTTGACCACCCTGCAGTCTGCCACTGGCTCCCGGTTAGACATTCCCATTTGGCAGCTTTGGCTTCCCTCCTTCCCCGCTATTGATTCTCAGGGCCAGAAGTACTTTTGCTCCCAGCTCTGGGGGACACTGAAAAGCTTCCGAATTCTAAAGCACTGGGTGACAGGCCCTGGGACTGCATGGCATCCTACAGAGACATGGATAAAGCACGTTTATTGTACCTAACAGGGATGATGATGATGGGGGCTACATCTTGGTGGTCTTCGGATGCTCTGTGCACAGTACATGGTCAATACATGCTTGCTAAAGTGAACGTCAAAGACTACTCCCTATTTACTGCAGTAGCTACACTCTCAAGTTGGGGAGGCACGTGACACCCCAGCACCAGGAGCTGGAAGGTTTCCTCCTCTTTCTAACTCCTATAATTTCGCCTCTTTCACCCAAACACTAAGAGCTAGAAGAACTATTAAGTCTCAAAACACTAGAACTATGTCTCAATATTTAATGAATTCTTTAAAAAAGTTTTTTAAACGAGCAACTGAGTAACTTCAAGACATGAGTTTAATCTCCTACAAGATACTGGCATTTTAACAATATGTAAACTACACAGACGATGTGGCTGGGAAGGACTTTGTTGTAACTGCTTCCCTAGGCATTTACAACTCCAAGTGAGTAACTCTGCTGGGTTCAACCCGCTAAGTGTGTGTGTGTGTAACAGGGGTGAGGTGGAAGAGTAGACCAAAGGAAACTAGCTGTTTTAGCTGTAAACAAACGAGAATAAAAACTTAAATGAGTTCTAGTCCTGTCTTCAACAATAGCTAGAAGGTAACTGCTTATCTACTCAGGACCTCTATATAATGAAAAGGAAGGACCAAATAATTTGTTAAATAGCATAAAAAAAAAAAAGGATAGCCCCTCCAGGATCAATCAAATGTCACTGTGCTAGATCCTGGCCAGGCCCAACACGCTCAGTCCCTCACAAGACTTACAGTGTAACTGAAATGAAGATGGAAGACACAGGCTCTCCTATGTGCCAGCACGTAACTGCAGCATGATTACACCCAATGTGGACTGCTGGCTCAGAATGTGTGGCTAGTGCAGGAAGCTGGCACTAAGGATCTAGCAAATCATGTCCAGGGCCCAAATGGGGGGCAGTATTTTAGAATCAGTAAGGTATTTATGCTAGGGGTCCAGCTAAGGGCAGTGGGCTAGGATCCATTCAGTGTTATCCACTGCTGGCAGAATGTCTACCTAGGACAGGTTGACTATTGCCATCCACCACCAGGCTCTCCTGTGATGCAGGGAGGGGAGTCTAAGATACCTATTCAGTCTATTCAAGGCTATTTTGTATCCTTTGCTGAAGTTAGCATCCTGTGACCTCAGTGCTACATAAAGAGTTTATACCTGAGCTAAATGCTTAAAGTTTACAACAATCCTCAAACCCTATCCTGTTAGAGGCTACTAATTAGGGATGGCTGGTAAACACTGCAACATTTACTCAAGGGGATCTAAGACCAGATAATGTAGGGTTGAAAGGCATCCTTTTATGAAATGGCTCAACTCTTCCCGCTCTGGTTCCTTTTTAAAACAGGCTGTATGCTTCAAACTGTATTTTGCTAAAGAAAGATGAACACATTTCCTTATTTCAAGTCACCATAACATCAAGAAAACAATGGCCACAGCAAGACTCAGGACTAACATTCCTCCTATGAGATCCCTTGTTGCCCTAGAGATGGACACCTGAAGGAATCTGCTTGCAATACCAACCCATTTCCACCACTGGTCTCAAAGATGAGGCTTTGTCACATTCTTTTGACAAATCCTTTCTAGAGAAATGTGATTTATAAAAATATTGAAAGAGGGACAACCATATCTTATTCTTTTTCTCATTTATAGAACAATTATGTAAAAAGGTTCAAACAGCTGTAAGACTCATGGCAGCAGAACAGGAGTCAAACTGATCATTAGGTACGTGTCAGGTAGGAAGTAACAGTTTTTCCTGTCTGGTTTACAACATCTCAAAATTATTCTAAAAGGAACTTCTCAGAAGTCTTGAGCAGGGATAGGCAGCAGCCTCTCAAGGTAACTTTGTAAAATAGCTTTTCTTTCTATCACAACATGAGGCTGACCTAACAATATTCTATTTAATGCAACTCAGCATCTTAAGAGATCATCAGACTTTTTTTTTAAGGTAGTAGAATTCACAGACTCATGACTGACACGTACAGTCATCCATAACCATGGACCACACAACCACCAAATATTCCCAAGCTGGCTATAAGAAATGTCCTGAATAGAAAGAAAGCAGAAACCACATCACAGATTCAGATTTTCATGTTGATAGCCAGAACCCCAGGACTTTGTCTTAAGGCCATTGGTAAACAGTTCCACTGCCTCTACTTTTTACTGACAGATTCTTTTCCCTGGCAAAACTGTCACCTGTGAGTTCCTTCACAAGCACTTTTGGGAGTTGCCTCCTTGGCTCTACTAAAAATCATACCCTCCCCCATCTCAAAAAATTTGCTTACGTGTGGTGTGTTCCAAATGCAATATCCAACTTTGCCTAGGATGAAAAAGAAGCTGAGTCACTTATTTTTAACAAACCGAATATCCCTATCTATTGGAAATCAAGTTAGAAAAGGTTCAGGTCCACTTTGTTTTGAATTGTTTTTACTGCCCTCTAGTGGACAAGCCCTGGACTGACACTACAACTTTTATAATCCTACCCAGTGAGGCTCATTAAGACTTTGTTAGCCAGAATGATTTGATACATACTCCATTTTTAATTACAGTAATCAGAAGCGAGAAGCCAGATATTAGTTGCCAAAAAAACCAAATGAGACCCTATGCAAAATTTTAAGATATTTGGCTTATACAGAAATTAACATATCAGAAAGTTTCTAGACCATATATTAAAAAAAATGTGGTAGCAGCATACTTTGATGTTAAAACAGAAGTTCTCTTATATTGACAACCTAGCAAGTGCTGAAAAGAGATATTCAATCTATTTCCTATTACAAAATGATACCTTTACAAACAAACAGGAGTGGGTGGAGAATTAAAACATTTTTATCTAACATCCAGTACAGCAAGACCTTGGTTAAGCAGAATATGCCTGAAGATGTAGGCTATGAAAGAGTTAAACAGAAATGCCAAACCAGCTCAACAGTGAGGAATGCGGGTGTAGGGACACAAATCCCATCCTTACAACTCTGGGCCACTTTGAAAAATACTTAAGTCTCTATGCCTCGTCTTCCTCCTCTTTACAATGAGGGTGCTGTTAGGGGATTCAGAGTTTTAGGAGCAAAGGAGACAATTACATGAACTGTCTAGAAAATAGGGCCTGGGGGCGCCTGGGTGGCTCAGTCGTTAAGCGTCTGCCTTCGGCTCAGGTCACGATCCTGGGGTCCTGGGATCAAGCCCCACATCGGGCTCCCTGCTCGGCGGGAAGCCTGCTTCTCCCTCTCCCACTCCCCCTGCTTGTGTTCCCTCTCTATGTCTCTCTCTGTCAAATAAATAAGTAAAATCATTAAAAAAAAAAAAAAAGAAAATAGGGCCTGCATGGGGTAAACACTCTACAAATGGAACCAAGTGCTACTATAATCAAGCTCCCTGCCCCAACAGGGCAGAGGGATGGACCTGTATGCTGGAGGCAGAAAGAGGCAATTGGAACACAGGGGAGTATGACACAGCCCATCTTGGGGATGCTCAGACAGGTGGCCCCGCTCACTACATTCTTAAGCTCAGTGTTTGGGGACACTCACAGACCAGATTCATTTGTATGTTCTGGCTACACAAATGAAGAGAGATCAGGGAATAGTAGGTCTTTAAAATTACACAATTAGAATGAAAACTGCCTCTCTGTAAACTGATACTTAGCTCAAAAAATGCAGTGGTCAAGAGACTTGGCTTCCGAGTTTAGTTTTGCTATAAGCTGTTTGCTCTTAGGCAAGTCTAAGTACAAGGATATTAACTTGAATAGGTAATAGTTAATGGATGCTTTTTGGGCAAATGCACCAAATCCTTGGCACAAAAACCCAGTGAAAAAGACTATTAGCAACCCATCTTAAAGATAAACAAATTAGGCTTACAGAAGTGATGGGCCCAGAAGGACATAGTGGGTAGAGAACTGCAGAACCCAAGCAGTTTGAACCTTGACCACCACAAGGCCTCAATCTCTGGCCTCAGGTCCCATATGTGCAAAATGGGAGCATCTGCTGCTTCTTTGACTAGTATGCCTCAGCTTCATCAAGTAACACTATGCTGCCCCCCCCCAAAAAAACCCAAGAATTCATTTTACAGACAAGATGTAACAATATTTCAACAGGTCAGGATGGGGCCACAAATCTATACTTCAGACTAGAAATGGGACCATCTGAAAATCTCGTCACTCGCGGGAAAGACGACCTCGCCCCCTAGTGGCGGGCCTGGAGCACACCACCACGCATGCCACACTCGCCCTACTTTTCAGTACAAGGAGCTAGTATCTGAAAAAGACTATTTCCATTGATTTAATGGCTGGTTTTTAGGATTCCTGTGTTATCTTCCACCCACAATTAGTCTTATGAGTATTATCCTACTGCAGTTAAACCTCCTCTTTTGGAAGCAAAAGCAAACCATGGGATTTTAGGCAACCGCCAAGCAGAGGCTTACCTAGGTGTAGAAGGTGAGCCACAAATATGTTGGATAAGAGTGACTGTTTTAAAACTCCAACTATATAGGGCGCCTGGGTGGCTCAGTTGGTTAAGCGACTGCCTTCAGCTCAGGTCATGATCCTGGATCCTGGGATCGAGTCCCACATCGGGCTCCCCGCTCAGCGGGGAGTCTGCTTCTCCCTCTGACCCTCCCCCATCTCATGCTCTATCTCATGCTCTCTCTTAAATAACTAAAATCTTAAAAAAAAAGATTAAAACTCCAACTATATAAAGTACTGTGGGTTAAATCATAGGAAAAATTTAAGACCAGTTTAAGGTTGATCCGACTGAGGTTTCTCCCTTTGAATCTTTAAAAATAACCACATATACACAGATAACGTTTTATAGTTGAAAGAAAATCAAAATGAGTTGGAATTCTTACATCTTATATGGACAGGGAGAAAAAAACACAAGAAAATGGAGAAAAATCATCTAGGTTTCTGTGTAGTTCACTCTTGTCAATGCACTCCAAGGGCAGAAATCTGGAGGCCATCTCCCTCTGGCAAGGAGAGAAAGGGGCTATGGAAGTATCTTACTGTGGCTGCTTGGAAATGGACTGCCCAGCACTAAAACAGAAGGTCAGTACGACACTAGCCACTTCACAGCCACCATTTCCACAGGAAGGAAATCCTTGCTTTTCTCTCCCCAGTGTGCCAGTTTCTTGCACGGAATGTCACACACAATATTCTCTTCAAGGTGGAATCAAAAGCAACCAGTGATGATAACGGAAGTCCAAGACTTCAAGTGTATTTCCATGTATGGCCTGAAGAGCATTAGGACAGAATTCTAGGACTACAACAAAAACCTGGGCAACAACCTTCTGGCCTTTTCTGCTCTGCTTTGGTCCCAGCAAACCAAGCAGATACACCTGTTACAAGACCATTTAACATCTCCCCATCAGGCGTGGATCATTTGCAGCTCAATTCACACAGGCAGTTTCCTAACAGGTTTGCTTTTCATTTGTCCATCTCCCCAGTATAGACCTTGGCTGCAATTCACGTGAAAAAGATCAGAGGACTACGGGTCAAGGGCAACAGCAGCTATTACCAGTCAGGTAAGTTGTCAAAATAAGTTTTAAGCTGCACTCAGAAAGCAGCAGCCACTGAATTCCATCCAGAAAACCTGGTTAGGTTCGAGAAGGACACTGACAAACTAGATGCAAACAGAGGAGTACTGGCAGGTTGGGGGAAGATAGGGATTCTTGTTAACAAGTACAACTTAAGAAACCATGCTCGAACCTGAAAGAAAACTAAGGAGGTACAATAGAGGACTTCACATACAAGCATCAGTCACATCTGAGATGAGATTTACTCTATGTGGCTCCAGAGAAGGGAAATCAGGACCCAAACGTGAAAGGTAAAAGGAGATGGTGAGGATTTATTTTTTGTGTCGACTTGGCTAGGTCACAGAACCCAGATACCTGGTCAGATATTGCCATGAAGGTTATTTTTAGATGAGGTTGACATTTAAATTAGTAGACGGAGTAAAACCGATTACCCTTTGTTTGTGGACCTCATCCAGTCAGTTGAAGGCCTAAGAAAAAAAGACCAACTCCGTCAAGGAAGAGGGAACTCAGTCTTCAGACTATCTTTGGACCTGAGCTACAGACCTACTCTCTTCTGGGTCTCCAGCCCGCAGGCCTATCCTACAAAGTTTGGACTTGCCAGTCCCCACAATCATGTGAGCCAATTCTTTTCAAAGAAGTCTTTCTACACACATATACATACCCTATCAGTTCTGTTTCTCTGGAGAACCCTGACAAATACAGAGACATCAGGTCAACATAAAGAAAAATCCTTCCAACCACAAGGGCTACCCACACACAGATGGGCTCTCTCAGGAAGCATTTAAGTTAAGGCTAGACAAGTATCCATTGGTGATACTAAAGAAAGGATTCTTGCTCTAGGTGGGTGGATAGACTAAATGTCTAAATTTCTTTCCAACTCTCAGACTAAGCAGGATCTCAAACAGCAATAAGCAGCCTACCTGGCAAAGGGAAATGTTTTCATAAGGCTTGGCCTGGGCATGTAAGTGAGCCTTAGCTTCTCGTTTATCTCCATGCACAAGCAGGATTGGTTTCTTCCTGAAAACAGATCAGAAGTATTTAGAATACATCTTTTATAAAGCTGGACTCTTGACTAGTTAAAGAATGCTAGGTGTTTCCTTACCACCAGACAAGTGTTTCTGGCCTCTGTGGTCACGGAGTACAGAGCTAACACATAGCACTATTCAGTTAATCTCCACTAGCCAGTTAACTTTACAACAGGGTCATGTGGCCTGATCCCAAAGCTCTGTTGTGACCCAGAGAGGTTGTGACTCGAGGAAGTCCCTGAGTAATTATCTTCTTTGATCCAAAAGAACATAAAGTTAGCTCTGTGTTGTTTTCAGGTTCAGATTACAAGATAAACATTTATTGTTATCTAGTAGGATGCTCTTTTCGTTCCCTTTCTTTAGACCAAGCAAAGAGCATTTCCTCATTAGACCTATATTCACTAAACTCCTACTGTGTGCTAGGTATGGCAGTCCCCCAAGATCCAAGAGTGAACAAGCCCAGGCCCACGGCATGATGCAGACTAACAGGTTGTTATAGTTCAATGAAACAAGGCATTTTGTGGCTGAGTCCTGCTCAATGAAATACAAGCAGGTGTTGTGTAGGACTTCCAGGAGACTACTCAGAGGAAGCACAGCTGGGATGTGGCCCTTTTGTCCTTTCTCCCTCCTGCCATCTGGACCACAGACCAGAGACCTGGAGCCCCAGGTGCTATCCTGGACCATGAAGGGACTTTGAAGATATGCACCAAGATGGTGGGACAGAAAGACAGAATGGGTGAATAAGTTCCTGAGAACCATAGTAGCCCCCAATCCAGACCACAGATATCTACCATCTAGACTTCTTAGGTTGGAGAAATCATTTTCTTTCATTTAAGCCACGGTTATTTTTGCTTTTCTGTTACATATTGTGAAAACTAATCGTATGTGTTATAGGTCAAATACAAGCCTTTGTGTGTCAAAGCCACTTGGGAAATTTCAATAGCATTTTACCTACTATTAATAAAGTTTCTAGAATCTGAGATCCTAAATGCACCAAGGACTTTGACAATCATTCTGTGGGTATATTCCTTTACCTTACTTGCTGTTAGGGGTTTTGCTAGGTGAATGTTAAAAACAGGACAGGTGGGGGCGCCTGGGTGGCTCAGTCGTTAAGCGTCTGCCTTCGGCTCAGGTCATGATCCCGGGGTCCCAGGATCGAGTCCCACATCGGGCTCCCTGCTCGGCGGGAGGCCTGCTTCTCCCTCTCCCACTCCCCCTGCTTGTGTTCCTGCTCTCGCTGTCTCTGTCAAATAAATAAAATCTTAAAAAAAAAACAACAAAAAAACAGGACAGGTGGCAGGGCACTGTACAATGCTATCTTTATCTGGTCTACACTGCCTAACACCAGGCTGAGGAACTGTAGAAGACAAGCTGAAAAATCCATCACCTCCATAATCTGGATAAGGGAAGCTCTAAGACCCCCTTCACTAGCTCTTAAACCACAGGAAGAATCATTTGCAAAGCAAAGATTCTTTGAACATGGGCACCTAGGTAGCTTAGTCAGCTAAGCGTCTGCCTTTGGCTCAGGTCGTGATGCTGGGGTCCTGGGATCGAGTCCTGCATCAGGCTCCCTGCTCAGTGGGGAGTCTACTTCTTCTCTCCCTCTACCTGCTGCTCTCCCGCTTATGCACTCGTGTGCAAATAAAACCTTAAAAAAAATTCTTTGAACAGCACTGCTGTATTAAGTGTGGCATGCTTACACATCTAGAAAGCAGGTAGCAATGATCTTTTCCTTCACATTAATATCAAAGTTGTCTTGGGGCGCCTGAGTGGCTCAGTCGTTAAGCATCTGCCTTCGGCTCAGGTCATGGTCCCAGGGTCCTGGGATTGAGCCCCATGTCAGGCTCCCTGCTCCGCGGGAGGCCTGCTTCTCCCTCTCCCACTCCCCCTGCTTGTGTTCCCTCTCTCACTATGTCTCTGTCAAGTAAATAAAATCTTAAAAAAAGCTATCAAAGTTGTCTATTTTTTTTTTAAAGATTTATTTATTTGAGAGAGCGAGAATGAGAGAGAGAGAGAGTACATGAGAGGCGGGAGGGTCAGTGGGAGAAGCAGACTCCCCGTTGAGCAGGGAGCCCAATGCGGGACTCGATCCCGCGACTCCAGGATCATGACCTGAGCCGAAGGCACTCGCTTAACCATCAAAGTTGTCTTTAGATTGCTTTGTCCTTATCTACTTCTGGAAAGAGCAAAAGAGGCAAATGCTAAAACCCGTATTAGGAATGCATGTGACTACTTAGACTAGATCAACAAATGCTGTTTTCCCTATATAACTAAGTTTGTAGGATTTCAATAGTGTCAAAAGAAATACTCAAGATGAACAGCAGTTGCCTGAGAAACACTAATCTTGCATTTTAAATCCCCATTACAGTTAGGATGTTATCAGTTATCCTGTGGTACTCACCTGAACTCTGGTGGATACTGTTTTATGAGCCAGGCCACGTCAAAGCAGTAGTTAAACTAGATGGGGAAAGAAAAGGATGGAGTTATGGGTAACTTAGGCAAGCAATCTGTAAGAACAGTTTGGTTATTGAATTGAAAGAAACTCTAGAGTAATGACAAACTCCAAATATTTATAAACCTGGACAACTGTGCTACAATACTCAAGGCTTGACGGGAATTCCGCATTCAAGGAATCTAAATCACTGGAGTAGTGCATGAGAAAACAGATTCTAAAGAAAGGATCCCACAGGCTTCGGCAGTATTTGTATTTCTAAACAGTCTTACTACATATTTCTAGAACCCTCTGATTAAATAAAAGGACTTACAATTTTATCCCTTTTCCCCTAGGTGATTATAAAAAAGACTTTTAGAAAAAAACATTTCCTCTCAGCCTAACTTATGAGCAAGCTTTGTGAACAGGCCGCTGGGACTGGACATTCACTAGGCTTAGAACAATTACATCTTGACTACAAGTTCTGCACTGAACTAACCCATGGGGGCTCCTCCCCATGCCCGGGTAATCCCTGGCCCTCCCCCTCCAATCTAGCTAAAAGAACACAAATTCACCCCATGTTCCATCTGGAGACTAGGATTCTGGAGGCCAAGTTGGACATAAAGCACACAGACAGCTTTGCTTTCTTCGTGGGTGTGACCTGTTTTCTATTTCCTCAAGAGCCTGAAGCATTAACATAATTCATCAACACAAGGGGACCAGCTCTATAAAGCAGGAGCAACCAAACACAAAGAACTACACATAACTTTTATTCACTTCTTTTTGGTAAGTGTAGGAAACCGTTTTCTAAATCGAATCAAACAACTTGGCCTTCACCTGCCTACCCATACCTTCCCAGGAGTTGTACTAGAATCCCATGAGATTAACTGGGTCCCAAAAAGAAGTCCCTCAGGTTAGAATTCCCAGCGTGACTTCCTGGCCAGTCCTTGTAACCCAATCCAGAGCCAGAAGCTCCACTGATCGTGGCATCCTTACTCCATGCTCATGGCTGGATACCACAACTGTGGCTCCTTGTGCCAGCCTCCTGGTATGGGCCATCTTGGGGACCCTGTACAGGACTGATATAGGTCCTCACGCCTATTTTCTTATGGGGTTGTCCCTTTTCCCCCAAAGAAAAAAACCACCATATACTCACCTGAGCTGAAGACACAAGTGTCCCAAATAGAGGAGACAGAATATCTGAGAAGACAAAAAAACCATCTAATTCATTTTTTGATAAAAATCATCTGGTAATAATCACAATTGACTTAGTCATTGACAATCAAAATTTGGCTGAGAAAACTGAAGGGACTACAAAGCTAGACTTTAATGTTCCATAAAATTCAAGAGAAAATTTGAGCTATTTAATATTTATTACGTTTTAACAAAATACAATATAAAACTAAAACCTCAATTTCAGAATTTGATGACTGGTCAATTTTAAAAACTTCCAGTAAGGACAATAAAGACATATTGGGTTTTTTTTTTATTAAAAATTTAACAGAGAGCACACAAGCAGGGGGAGCAGTAGAGGGAGATGGAGAAGCAGACTCCCTGCCGAGCAAGAAGCCCGACGCAGGACCCCAGGATCATGACCCAAGCCAAAGGCAGACGCTTAACCGAGCCACCCAGGCGCCCCAACATATTGTTCTTTCCAGATCTTAATTTTTATCTCCTTCAAATCCCTCTCCAAGAAACCTCCCTAACCCAAGACTAACAAGATAGTCTTCTGGAGCCTGAGAGCACCTGCTTCCTGTGAAGGAGGGTCGAAGCACCCACAACCCCAAGCTCACATTTCTAGCATTCTAGGTCATCTTGAAGGGAGTTGCAACTCGCATCCATTCCAACTTGATTTCAAGTAAGATCAGAAAGCTCACTTCTCATAAATTGTACCAGGAGAGGAATTACATGGTTACCACCACTGATCGTTTAACTGCTGTACTTGAATCTCTTGGATGCCAGGCACTATTCTTACCACTGTCCCTGTATTCACTCTTCTTCACAGCCATTTTCTGAGCTGGAGTTTTTCATTCCCACTTTGTGGATGAGGGGTTTCCCCTTAGGAGGCTGTCCATGGCCACAAAGGGCTAGTCAGGATCTGAAGCCAGGTTATCTGGCTTCAGCACTTGTGCTCTTAACCATCAAACTGCCTGAGGATTAAGAGTAGGCTCCTTTGGGGCGCCTGGGGGGGGGGGCGGTTCAGTCGGTTAAGCGTCTGCCTTCAGCTCCGGTCGTGATCCTGGGGTCCTGGGATCGAGTCCTGCATTGGGCTCCCTGCTCAGTGGGGAGGTTGTTTCTCCCTCTCCCCCTGCTTGTACATGGACACGCACGCGCGCTCTCTCCATCAAAAAAAAAAAAAAGAGTAGGCTCCTTTATTTGACCCATGCTTACTGAGTGCTTCTTCCAAATATTGAGCTACATGCTGGGGTACAAAAATTTTAAAAGAGGTTGCCTTAAGGAAGCTCCTATATATATATTTATAAATTTGACAGCGCTCACGCACACGTGCACACAAACAAGCAGAGGGGAGGAGCAAGGAGAGAGCAAGAAGCACGCTCCCCATGAGCAGGGAGCCCGAAGCAGGACTCGATCCCAGGACCCTGGGATCATGACCTGAGCCAAAGACAGATGCCCAACCAACTAAGCCACCCAGGTGCCCAAGTTCCTACCTTTATGAGAGGTACACAAAAGGAATGTATTGCAGTTTCTTGACAGTATCCCCTATTTGGCCCGTTTGGCTTTGAGAATTTGCTAGAATGCCTCACGGAACTCAGGAAAGCACTTTACTTACTAGATTACCAGTTTATTAGAAGAGGATACAACTCAGGAACAGCCAGATGGGAGAGATGCAAAGAACAGGTATGCGGGAAGGGGTGTGCACCTCCGTGTGTTCATCAACCTGGAAGCTCTCCAAACCCCTACACAGGGTTTTTTAAGTGAGGCTTCATTACAAAGGCCATTAATGATTAACAACCTCCAGCCCCCTTCCCCCTCCTTGGAAGTGTGGGAATGGGAATGAAAGTTCCAGCTTTAATGACACAATTGGGTCTCCCTGGCAATCAGTTCTCCATTCTCAAGGGCTTTCCAAAAGCCACTTTATTAACAAACCAGGTATGACTGAAAGGGGCTTGTTATGAACAGAATTTTTTAAAGATTTTATTCATTTGACAGAGAGAACAAGCAGGGAGAGTGGCAGGAAGAGGGATAGGGAGAAGCAGGCTCCCTGATGAGCAGGGAGCACGCATAACATAGGGCTTGATCCCAGGACCCTTGGATCATGACCTGAGCCCAAGGCAGACGCTTAACCAGCGGAGCCACCCAGGTGCCCCAGAAAAATATTCTTTTGACCTTCATTACTTTAGGGCTCTTACAGGAGCCTGGGACAAAAACCAACCAGGAATGAAGACCAAATACATATACATCATAATATCACACAGATGCACCCTGAGGAATAAGCAAAGCAACCGAAGACTATCTTTCGATTCAGAACTGAAATACCTATATGCATGCTGGTTTTTTGCTTCTTCACCAGGAACAAAAACCTGGCTTCCAAGCAGTGGTTCTCAAACCTGATTGGGCTTTAGTGATGGGGTTTTGGAATACAGGTGAAGTTAGGTGGGGTGAGGTTTGGAGCCAACGGCCAAGAAGGAATTCTTGAGATGTCTCGGGTTCAAAAAGGTGGTTTTATTAAAGCACGAGGACAGGACCAGTGGGCAGAAAAAGCTGCCCCTCGTTTGTGAGGTATGGCTGATTATATACTTGAGAGTTGGGGAAGGTAAGGAAAAGGGAGATTTCAAAAGGATTTTTGTTAAAGAAGACTCACAGGATACTGGAGGCCTTGCCATTGCCAAGTTAAGCTTGGTTTTCCTTCTAGTAAGGCATTAACAGTAAGATAATTGGGAGCTTCCTGGAGGAACATTACACTTTGCCCTCTTCAAGTATCTGTCAATGGGCTGCTGGTCATAAGGACATTTAATTGTATCTACATTTCCTTCTGGAAGCTAGGCCATTGATAGAAATTCACAAGAACAAAGCATTTCTAAGACTTTTGTAAACTGAGACTCATGTTTCGTAGGATTTTAATCTCTATAAATTAACTGTTTTTCCTTTAGGGCAGCCAGGAGTGCCTGAGGAATGTCACATATATCCCATGGGGGTCAGGGGGGGATTGTGGGGTATCAGCTTCTGCCTGTCCTCAGCTGGTCTTCTGCTCCCTCATTAGAATCCCCGGAAAAGCTTCTTAAAACAGACTGCAGGGCCCTGCTCCCAGAGTTTGATTCAGTGAACCTGAGTGGAGCCCCAAATCTGCATCAAGTTTTAGGTGATGGTACTGCTGTCAGATATTGCTATTTCATTAAAGTTTAAGCTTTAAAAGTTAGCACGATGTTTAAAATTGTCTAAGTATTCCAACTGGTAGATCTACAGGACTGAGAAACACCCTATAATTCCCTAAGTAAACAGCTTGCTGTCAAACACATTTGTTTGTCAAACTGGTAGTTTTCCTGAGGGTAGTTAAGACTGTGAAGGGTTCTTGGAGATGGTTCTAGGTTACCCTCCTTGTTTTGCCAAGGGGACCTTCTCAAGTGCTGTTTGACAGCTACCAGACATCCACTTACCCTTGATGTGGAGGGCTCCAGAGTTATACTTTGGCTTAATTCCGGAGACTCTAGTGAGGTAAAATTGGAAGGGGTTCCCTTTTTCCAGCATGTCCCAAATATCTTGGCCTTCCCCTGAGGTCTCATACTCCTCTTCCTCCTCTTTTAGTCCATGGTGGGCAGGAGAGCCATGATTTCCAGTTCTTTGGGTGGCACTGTCTTTGGGAGAAGAGATGCCGCTCTCCTCTTTGACCACCATGTTCTTAGCCTGCTTCTCCTGTGTTCCTGGTTGCAGTTCATCATCACTGCTAGAGAGACACCAACCCAGGTCTTCCTGGGAACCACTCTTCTGCTTTTTGGGAGGTGAAGCTTGTGAATCTGTGCTGAACTTTACAGGTGATAATTTCCTTTTATGGGCAGCTTTCCTAGCCTCAGAACAGGTGTATCTTGGTTCATTTGTGGCTCCCTGCCCAGCATGAGGGAGGGAAGAAGTAGATGGCTTGTCTAATTTTGGCTTTTCCTCCTCACTTTCATCACTACTGGATATTGTCCACTTCCCATAATCACCTTCCTGAGACATACTTCTGGAAATGAAAGACAAATAGTTATTTCCATTCACTAGGAAATTGGCAAACCGTTGCTCTCAAATTCCGTATTAGTTTCTGCAACACATACAGCACACCTGACGCTTACCAGATGCTGAGCCACGGAACGAACGTCAGCTGTTTTGCAGGTGTTCAGAGGCACATTCCCAGAATCTGCTACAGGAATTTGGCAAATAAAGTGACAGCAAAAATCCTAGTTACTTTCTCCTCTCTTTCAACCCAGACCTTGTTCTTAGAGGCCTGAGGAAAGAGTTGGGGGCGAAACTCCAAAATAAAAATATTTGCTCTTGATGCTGAATCTTCTAACAGGTGCTTGGGGTTAAGATAATTTAAGGAATTTCAAGAACTATACTCAAATTTTTGAGGTCAAATTGGAGTTTACAAATCTACCCTTCACCCAAGCATGAGAGCCCACAGGACTTTAGCGATTCTTTCTTACTTCACCAAAGATAAGCTACTTACCGTAAAGCTTAACAAAATCCTCAAGACAGTGTCAAACGCTCAATTCTGTATATACATTATCTAGATTTGCTGCCATGAGGACCCAACTACCTTAATGGCCCTGTGCTAAATCAAACTACTAAAACCTGCAGAGAACTTGCACAGAAGCAAAACACTTGTTTTCTAAAACAGTCGAGTTTCTATTTAAGAAACTAGATGAAGTACTTTCGGTTTTGTTACCTACAAAATTCCCACCAATTCAAGTGCAAAGGCCAAGTACATTTTTCAGATAGCTAAGGAACAGTTTCTCACTGTGATTAAAAAAAAAAAATTTTTCACTCGCATCGGGCTCCCTGCTCAGCAGGAAGCCTGTATCTCCCTCTCCCATTTCCCCTGCTTGTGTTACTTCTCTCGCTGAGTCTGTCAAATAAATCTTAAAAACTTATTTATAAAAATAAAATTTTCATACAAGACCCAGAGAAAAATTTAACCTAAGAGTCTGTGCTCAAATTATTGTCAAAGTTTTGTTCTTTTAAAGAAACTGAGGACACAAGTTTGGTATACTAAGATGGACTGTAGAACTCTGTTCACAGGACCCCTTCCCCCTGCAAAAGGCTTGATTCCACACCAAAAGATTTGCAAATGAATACACTTTTAAGTTTCAAGCTAGAAAGGTTTTGTTTTGTTTTAAGTAGGCTGATCAAATGTTGCATGCTCTATTAAATGAGCCAGCCAGTTGCTGGCCAAGTTAAAAAAGACTTAAAGTATCTATCACGTTTCACAATTTCTCACTTTTTCAATTCATGACCAGTCAAGTAAGATCAAGTTTCTCCTGTAAGTTACCTATTTCAAGATTTTTTTTTAAACTGAGTGCATTTAGACAATAATTTGACCTGTTCTTCTCGGCTCAGGATCCCTATTAACCTCACCTGGCGTGGATACTGTTTTACGAAGCTTTAGGGACTACAGAGATGGATGGGACCTCTTTCTCCAGTACTAGTCGCCCTAGACTTTGTCTAGCTCTTTTTCTAAGTGTTCTGTCCAGTCCACTTCTAAGAGTTGTTAGAACTCAGTAGGCTTGGGCGCCTGGGTGGCTCAGTTGGTTAAGCAACTGCCTTCGGCTCAGGTCATGATCCTGGAGTCCCAGGATCAAGTCCCGCATCGGGCTCCCTGCTCAGCAGGGAGTCTGCTTCTCCCTCTGACCCTTCCCCCTCTCATGTGCTCTCTTTCATTCTCTCTCTCAAATAAATAAATAAAATCTTAAAAAAAAAAAAGAACTCAGTAGGCTTTTCCCCTAAGTTGTTTCTAATCTGCTAAGGGTTAAGAAAGAAGCTTGTTAGAACTGTATTACCGTTAACAGGATACAAGGGCTAGATTTTCATGAAATATTTAGACTTAGTACTTAACATATTTGAACAGTTCAGGTTTTTTAAGTTTTCTAAGCTTACATTCCTCTTGTGTTCTAGACTCTTGGAGGCTGCTGGCAAGAGGTATTTAAGCCATCACAATTCGCTGTGAATTAAAGGAACTCTGAAGGAATGATTTTGATGGCTACAGTTTTGTGACTTCAAAAAGTTATTTCAGAATAGAAACCCCTCAGGAAAAAAACTGTTAGCTCTAGCTTTCAAAGAATTCTCAAATAGCAGTAAAGCCAGGAACTTAAGTAAAAGAATCAATTAAGAGTTCCCAGGCTGTTCTTTATAGATTCCTTCCCCATTCTAAAGCAGAATTTTTAGGTGGAAAGGGTTCAGCTTCCAGCATAAGAAAAGCTGTATGCAGACACCTTACAGGCTACCACCATTCCTCTCCCAGATGAATTACATCTCAATAAAACGGAATTTAAAAGTCCTGAAAACTCTAAGGAAGATATTCATCTTTAGCGACTCAGCTATTTAGAGTAATTCTAAGGTTTCCAAGTTTTATTACCTACATTTTCTAGAACCACACATGCATGGGAAGGAGAAAGACCATTCATTCCCTCCAAAGTAGGACAAGTTGGTAAAAAAAAAAAAAAAAAAAGGTTTTGAAAAAGACATTTCCTCGAGGGAAAAAATGCTTTTGTCTGCTGTAGACGTAGCTTAAGTTTTGGAACTGCTCACACTTAAATATGCTGGGTTATTTACTAAAGGCAAAATACCTTTGAAAGAAAAAAATCGTCATTACATTCAGCAGGTTACCAAGCTCTTTATGGTGTCAGGGCTGTTAGCCTGAAGAAGAGGAGTGGTTGAAAGGCCAAGATCAGGGGCGCCCGGGTGGCTCAGTCGTTAAGCGTCTGCCTTCGGCTCAGGTCGTGACCCCGGGATCCTGGGATCGAGCCCCGCATCGAGCCCCGCATCGAGCCCCGCATCGGGCCCCGCATCGGGCTCCCTGCTCGGCGGGAAGCCTGCTTCTCCCTCTCCCACTCCCCCTGCTTGTGTTCCCTCTCTCGCTGTGTCTCTCTCTTCAAATAAATAAATAAAATCTAAAAAAAAAAAAAAAAAGGCCAAGATCAGGAACTGACTTCCTGCGGAGAACTCCCTGGTTCCAGTATTCGAATTTCACTTCTCTGCCACAGAGGCATTTGCAGGGTGCTTTTGTAATCAAGTCACAAGTCACAGTGTTAAAGATGGAACTCAACAGCGTTCCCTTCAATTGTTTGTCTTTCCTGGGCTGCATCTGGCACATCACAGGTCCAACATCCCATTCTGAGCTAAGCGGTGACGCTGGGGGAATTCTACGATCACAATACAGATGGACCAATTCTGAGCAGGTCTGCACAGAGCAGCGTTTTCCAAAGTGGAGGTGACTGGGACCAAACGTTAGTATCACAGTACGGAAGTACCATCCTTTTCCCTTCCAATCCGTTTAAATCAAGGAGACAGTCGTAGTGTTGCAGAAAGCCCTCAAGAAACTTTGGGCTCTTCTGCAGGCACCAGTAACACTTTTTTAAAATCAAAGTATCTTATGGCTCCATTTTATTTCCAGCGAAATAAAGTTTTAAAGACCATATTTGTGTAAAAGTGGGCTCAAATAAAAACACCAAATAAACAACGGTATAGATATTAAAAGTGAGACAAAAACCAAGAAACAGAAAGGCAAATGACTGAAATTTGGCAAACCGCATGAAGCTGTATTGCTAAGGAGGATGGAAATCTGAAGAAATCCCCCCCCCCCCCCCCGCATCAAGTCTATACTGAGCCCCGCGAACGACTGGCTCCGCGTACAAGGCAACCTGGCTCAGAAAGGTTCAGTGTCTGGCACAGGGTAGGCGCCCCACGCGCGCCAGCATCACTGCCTGCCGAGAAGCCGGAGTAAAAAGCCCAGCGCGGGGACCCCTCGCACCCACGCCCCCGGCCGCCCTCGGCTCGCCGCGACGCCTGCCGCTCGCGCCGGACAGATGCTATGAGGCCCACAAGGGGACCTTCCCCAGCGTTTTTACCAGATACCCCGCTTCCCTCAGATTCCACCTCCAGTCTCACCGGGCCTCAGAATTCGCGGGACCCGAGAGGCCTAGGCCGGAAGAAGCAGGGTCTCCTGTTCAGCCGGACACGAACCTGAAACTTCCACAGCCGGCAACAGCCGAACTCGCCCTTGAAATACCCACACCCCACGGGTTCGCGCTCTCTCTTCCGCCGCCCGCGCTTGCGCGCAATTTAAACCCTCCCGGCCGGGGCTCGCACCTGGTGGCCCAGCCCCTTCCCTTTCCGGGACGCCCACCGCTGGGTCCTAAAGACCTCCGGATCCTGAGGGGCTGCAGGGCGCTCCCCCAGGAATGGGTGCAAGGGGGGTCCCGGCAGCCTCCAGCTCTCGGTTCACCCCCTGACCGCTTCTCCTAAAAGGAGGAGAGGGAAAATTAAGTGTTCTCTCTCTCCTCCCTTAGTTAATGGGCGAAACTCATCCACTTTGCAGGGAGTGTCATAGGTTCAGTTTCCCCGGAGCTCGAGGCAGGGGGTATTTACTTTTAGGCAGAGAGAGGATTAGCTTAGGTTCGAGGCCGCTGTGGTTTGAGACCTGTATCCCGGAGGAGCGGGCTCGCTGGGGACGCAAAGTTGTAGAACCTGCTGTAAAATAAAAGGGTAATGAGCTCCCGTCACACTCAAACGCGAATGCCTGTTTCTTCTTTGAAACGTGTGTTTTTAACCTTACTGGTTTGCCAGAAGAGAGTGGGGTCTAAAACTCTTTTGCAAAACGCAACCCCCCCCCATATTCTTTGGCTTTAATAATGTTTATAACATTTATTCTCAGTTTCTTTCAAGCTAGGCACTTCTCCTAAAGGGCTTAGTGGAACAGCTTGGTGTAAACTGATGTGATTTTTTTGGATTAGTGTTGTTGGGGTCTGGAACTGACGGCCCAGGAAGAATTCTTAGATGCCTTCAGTGCAAAAAAGGTGGTTTTACTAAGGCACGACGATAGGACCCAGGGGCAGAACTGCTGTCGGGGGATTGTGAGGAGCAACTGATTATATACGTTGGAGTTGGGGGAGGTAAAGACTAGGGAAGTTTCCAAAAGGGCTTTCATTTGCTAAAAAGTACTCGCGGGATAAAGAAGGCCTTGCTATTGCCAAGCTAAGGTGGTTTTTCCCTCTAGCAAGGCATTGACATTAAGACCGTTGGGAGCTTCCTGGAGGACGTACGGGGCGGTATCAAGTAATTGTCAATGGGCTGCAGGTTATAAGAACATTTAATTTTATTTACATTTCCTTCTGGCTTTGTTTCCCACATCATAAAAGTCCTAAGGACTTGGTTCGTTTACTGAACATCTTCCTGCAGGGATATCGGGAGGACAAAACAGACCGTAGTAACTGCCCTGGAGGGATGGACCCCAATAACTTGACTTGCAGATATGCACATGAATCCTGGACTTGGCTCTTTGGTTCTTCTAATGCTTTGTTCACACTTTTTGTGTTTCCTATGCTCAGCACAGTGTCATAGATAAAAATTACCAAAGTAACTTACTGCAAGGTGTGGGGGCAGAAAAATGGGAGGAACCTTGCTAGAGACCTTGAAGCAGGACCTAGGTGAGCGGGATCCCAGCGGTGCGCAAGGAGTTAAGGGGAACGAGCATGGCGGTAGCAAGGCTGGGGGCGGGCCCAGGAGCCTCGCCGCCATAGGCCGTTCCAAGGAAACGGACCTAAAGCTCTGACCAATAGAACCGCGGGATCAACGCCAGTGGCTAGCAGGCCGTCCAATGGGAAAAGACGTTGGAGTTGCCCGGCCAAGTTCAGCTTCTTTAGCTGCGGTGAGCGTAGCCAGAGGACTGCAGCAACCCGGTTCTGGAGGTGGAGGTCTCGGGTTCTCCGGTGCCTTTCGCTTGTGGTGGTCGCGATGTTTTTCTCCGAGGCCGGAGCCCGGCCACGGACGTGGGAAGCCAGTCCCTCAGAACACAGGAAGTGGGTGGAAGTAGGTGTCCGGAGGGCTGATTCTCCGACTTTTGACCAAGGGCTCCCATTTCATTCACCCGCCTGGGCCTCACTAATCTCTGTTGCACTGACAAGGACTGCACTGTCCTTCCAAAGGCCCGTGCTTAATGACTGAGCCGAGGGCTGCAAGGCTTTTCGCTCTCTGTCCAGTGTTCTGGCTACTTCCAAGCTCCTTTTCCCATATCCAGTTTATTAACAAGAACCTCTAACCTTATATCTGTCTCACCTTCCTAATTCTAGGACTGAATTTTGGATAGAATTTATCCCAGTGGTTTAAAGGAATTAATTTGCGTCAGTCTAGCGATTAAGTCGTTTGCACATTTCGGGGGGTAAATTTTAGCACGTTAATAATTCTTGAGAAGTAAAATTAAGATAATGCAACTCCCATCTCCGAACCCTCCTGCTCAGCTAAGTTTTAGATTTTAGAGGTCTAAATTTAATATAAACTAGTAATAAAGTAATAGAACAAACCGTTTCGGTCTAACTGAAGCTATTTAATGTTCTTTAGGTATTTAAAGCATGCGATGAAGATAACAAAGGCTATCTAAACAGAGAGGACTTTAAAGTTGCTGTTATAATGCTGTTTGGGTACAAGCCCTCCAAGGTAGAGCTTTCTTCATCTATTTGGGAATGGGGCAGACAATACAAGGGTGGGTAGGTTCTAAGTCAAGCGCAGTGGCTAGTTTCGGATGTTTAAAATGACTGCCTCTCAGAGCGATTTCAGAGATGTGTCCAGTGCTGAATTTTACTCTTCTTAAGAACCTAACTCAGGGGGCGCCTGGGTGGCTCAGTTGGTTAAGCGACTGCCTTCGGCTCAGGTCATGATCCTGGAGTCCTGGGATCGAGTCCCGCATCAGGCTCCCTGCTCGGCAGGGAGTCTGCTTCTCCCTCTGACCCTCCCCCCTCTCATGTGCTCTCTCTCATTCTCTCTCTTTCAAATAAATAAATAAAATCTTTAAAAAAAAAAAAAAAGAACCTAACTCAGGGATGAATTAGAGTTCATGAAGCCTTTCTCACCACCAGGCTTATAATAAATGCAAGATGCTAGGGAGATGTCAAGAGGGAAGGCTGGGAGGCGGGTATTGGTAACAGGAATTCGTTTAAATTATAAAACTAATACGTTTCCATAGACAAAAAATTCAGAGTCTGGAAAAAGTATAAAGTTGAATGTAAAATTCCCTCCTTTGCTACCAAACAGTCCCACTCCTCAGGGGTTACCATAATTAACAATTGTTTGTGTGTCATTCCAAAATTTCCTATGTATAACAAACATGCCTAGCATTCTATTAAAAGCATAAGTGGGATGGGGTGGCTGGGTGATGGACATTGGGGAAGATATGTACTATGGTGAGCGCTGTGAATTGTTAAGATTGATGAATCACAGACCTGTACCCCTGAAACAAATAGTATGTTAATAAAAATATTTTTAAAAAATAAAGGGTTAAATAAAAACATAAGTGGGTACATAGTATACCTATTTTATTTTGCTTTTTTCACTTAACAACATAAAAGCACACACCACCACGTTTTAAAAAAGTAGTTGTGTAGTATTATCTTTAGCCAGTTTCCTGTCTTTGGTCATTTGGATTGCCTCCATTATTTTTCATTCCTACAAACGTTTTGTTGAGCATCCTTTTATATGTATATCTATACTTGTGGATGTATATCTATGGAATAAATTCCTGGGAGTACAATTGCTAGGTACATTTGAAATTTTGTTGGATATTATTCTTCAGGAAAGTTTGCACTAATTCACTAATAAGGAGAGTTGAGCTGAGTTTCAAGGAGTGTCCTGCTTTAGGAGGACAGATTTCCTGCTCCCCTTGTTACATTGATTCTAGAGATGGATCCCTCTTATTAAGATGCTGAACTGGAATTAACCAGACAAGATCTTGTCCAGCTTTAAGAAATTCAGTTGCAGCCATCAAACAGAGGGCTCTGCCTGTAATGTTCCCCCCCGCCGCCCTGTGCCCTCCTTAAACCAGTTTGGCCTGGCTGTTCCTCAAGAGTGAGCTCTGCCTATCAGATTGCAAGCCCAGCAAAGCCAGGAACCAGGTGATGTATCGCGTCTCCATCTCTCATTATGCTTAAACGTATCACAACTTCACGGTAAATAAGTTCTGTTGACACCAATCTGTCCCATGAATGGACCAGGTGGGCTCAAAGTGGTTCACCTCCTAGCAAATGTTTGGTTACTGAGATGCTGATTGTGGAGCTCAGAGAAATAGTCAGGGCTGACTCCCAGAAATTGCAGCTCTTCTCTTCACCTGCATCATTTCAGCTAGAATTCCAAAGCAAGTCAGCTAAATGGATCCAGCCTTTGAAGCATTGTATTTAACCTGTGTTCAGCTGGAAAGATAGCTGGTTTCATTCTGCTTTTATCATCCCTGAATCTCCTTAATTGGCTTTAATTTTAGAATATAAGTGAGGAAATGAATGACAAGTACAGTGATGTGGTAAGACGGATATGTACAGTCCATGAAATTTAACAGATTTTTACTTTTATTCACATACCTTGCCGAGGTAGCAGATTTCATTTTTTAATCAAATATCTGACTGCAGATCACTAAACAGTAAAGTGATAGCAAATCATCTGTACACCTGTCAGTCATTTGTTATGAACTTGTGTTAAATAAATGACAATGCATACCCTCTGTGAAATGTAACAGATTTTTACTTTTATAGTAGCTTGAGGTTTGGGGTGTTGTTTAATTAATTAATTTTAAAAGATTTTATTTTTAAGTAATCTCCTACATTCAATGTGGGGCTTGAACTCACAACCCCAAGATCAAGAGCTGCATGCTCCACCAACTGAGCCAGCCAGGAGCCCCTGGGGTTTTATTTTTGAATATTGCTTTTGAGCAAATGAAATATTTACTGAAATGCACGACATGTAATAAATCATTTATACACTCATGCAATTGTTTACACAATGAAATTTATGAAGTGTTCCTATTTAAAAAAATGAACACTTGCTAGTTGCTAGTGATATAAAAATGAATAAAACATAGCCCCTACTGTGAAGCAGATCGTAAGTTAGTGTAGAGAGACTTATAAAACTCTGATAAATACTAACATGAGAAGAACAGAAAGAACCCAAAGTGAAAGGGACAAGGAAGAGGGTCTTCTAATTCTAGTGAAAAGTAGGAATTTAGGCATCACTTAGACTAGAAGAGCTAGCTAGCCTCCTCTGATATGAAGTATCCAGAAGCACTTTGTTGTGTTGGGACATGTTATGCCCTGATGATTAGATGTGGTTGGGTGTAAGAGAGGGGTGTGAAAACAGGCCTGAAGCAATAGTAAATGCCACCAAGTAGGAAAACTGAGGAGTAGGCCTGGGAGAAAGTCATTGAGTTCAGTTTGGGGCACATTAAGTTTGAGGAGGCTGTGGACTCCCAAGTGAATTCACGCATTAAATACTGTGCTGGTATTAAGGTTTTGGTGGTAAAGATCTGCCCTCAGATTTTGCCGCCCCTTGTAAATGCAGGAATCTGGAACCAGGTGAGGAATTGGGAGGGGAGGGCTGGAGACAGATTCAGGACTCCTCAGTTTACAGGTGATACCTCAGAGCATGAGACTGGGTGGTGTTGCCCAAGAACAGTATGCAGAGGGCGAGAGATACACCACTGGGGGGTACCAATATTTAAGGGTAAGCAGGGGCTCCATGAAGATGCAACAGGAACCACCTGGCAGGGGCAAGAGGAACCAGGAAAGTATAGAATCCAAGGTAGAGAAACTATGTGAGGTGTTGCCAAGGTTCCAATTCCATCATGTTTATAAGGCCCTTGTAACCATACAGGAAAATGCTTATATTTTTAATGTATGGTGAAAGCAGTTTCCTGAACCGTATATAGGATGTGTTCTGAAATATGTTTAAAAAGCCATAGGGGAAGAATGCAGACTAGGCCAAAATGTTAATAGCGGTTCTCCTTGGATGGCTGTTTTTAAAAACGTTCTTCATGATTTTTTTTATATTTTTCATGATTTCTACATCATGTTACTTTTATAATCAGGAAAAAAAGTTCAAAAATAAAGCCATCGAGCTCATTGCAATAATCGCTTGTATTTGTCTAAAATAGAAAGGTTACCTTTTAGGTTATGCTGCATATGTGACAGCCAAGTTGATTATATATGCTTAAACTGTTTTGGTCAATGGAACAGTTTTGGGGCCATTAGAGTCTGTAGCGGATTAGCATATTGTATCTTATAGGGATATTTTTTGCTTTAATACCACTTTATTTTTTATTTTATTTTTTTAAGTTTTTATTTAAATCCCAGTTAACACAGTGTAATATTAGTTTCAGGAGTATGATATAGTGATTCAACAGCTCCAACACCCGGTGCTCATCACAACCCTCCTTAATCCCCATCACCAATTTCACCCATCCCCCCACCCTAGATATAGATGGAAGAATAAAATGACTCTTATAGCTCTCCTCTGATAGTACTTGTCAGCTGAACTCAAGACATTTGGTTTCTCATAAAATACAATCCTTCCCCACACCTCAGGAATTAAGAACTTGCACTGTGAAAACATTTGATGAAATTGTATGTGCTATTCTTTCTTCTTTTCTAGATGGAAGCTGATTCCATGATGTCTTCAGTAAATCCAAACACTTCCGGTAATATGAAACTTAATATTAATTTTTAGACATTCATAAAGCGAAAATTAAGAACAAAAATAGAGATTATAAAGCACATCTTTGTTTTGTTCTGTTTCAAAGAAAGAGGTTTTGGTTCTTTAATGTCTTCATAAGTATGTATGTTTATTGTAGGGAAGTTTTAAACCATTGAAAAACATAACGAAAAAACGTTGCTTGTAATGTCAACATCCAACTGATGGTGGGGATTTTCTGACTTAGATGAATGGAAGTAGCACTCGATGAAATGGAAAGACTAGAGGGAAAAGGTATGGGGTTGGGGGAGACCCAGAGTTCACTTTTGCGTATGTTAAGTTTGAGACCTTTCAGTCCGCGATGTCAGGGCACTCAGGCTGTGTGAATACGGAATTCAGAGGAAAGCTGTGGGCTGGAGAAGTAAATTGGGAGTCGCTGGCACGTAGAGGGTTTTTGAAGCCATGGGGATGGATGAGACCGCCTAGCAAGACAGGGTGGACTGAAAATCTTAGGAACTTCAATCACGAGAAGTCCGGGAAAGAGTTTGGGAGAGAGTTAGGAAATGGCAGAAGATTTAGAGGGGGCAGAAGGGCAGGAGGAAAATGACAGGTGTCTGATCAAAAGTGAGGAGAAGCAGATTCTTTCAAGGAAAAGGATGTCAACACTGTGGAAAGGTCAGGTAGATAGTAACTGAATATTTATCTGTTGGAGTTGGCGACCTGGGTGTGTTTACTGACTTTAGCAAGAGCAGTGAAGCAGAGGCCAGGCTGGAGTGGTAGATAAGTCTTTCAGTAGGTCTGGAGTGGCTGGGGGTCTAGAGCAGTTCTGTTTTGTTTTGTTTTTTGCACTTAAAGATGTGTCTGAGTTTAGCAGATTGCTCTAGTGAAGAGGGAAAAGGAAGATGAGAGAGACAGGGAAATACCTGTTGTTTTTGGAGATAGGGTCCAGAACATGCTGGACTGGATTTTTAAAAATTAACTTAAAAAAAAAATAATTTAGAGCTTACAGAAAGTTGCAAAATAAAAATAGTACCGAGAAGAGCTGTTATACTCTTTACCCAGGTGCACTTACTGTTAACTTTTTTTTTTTTAAAGATTTTATTTATTTATTTGACAGAGACAGAGACAGCGAGAGCAGGAACACAAGCAGGGGGAGTGGGAGAGGGAGAAGCAGGCCTCCCGCAGAGCAGGGACCCCGATGTGGGACTCGATCCCAGGACCCTGGGATCATGACCTGAGCCAAAGGCAGTTGCTTAACCAACTGAGCCACCCAGGCTCCCCTTACTGTTAACTTCTTAGCCCTTTGGCCCCTCCTACCACTTCCCCCCTCCTCTCACTGCACTGAACCTAAAACCACAGCACGCTTAGCAACTTCATAAACTAATATTGATACTATATTTTTATCTAATTTACTGTCTATATTCCAGTGTCATCACTTGATCTGATAATGTCCTTAATAACACCATTCCTCATTTAATACAGGAATTAGTCTTTGATGCCATGTCTCTTTAGCCTCCTTTAAACTTGCCTTTTTATAACATTGATATTTGTGAGGAAATAGCCCAGCCCTCACTATTTGTTTTTTAAGAATGGTCCTTGTTTTGTGTTTGCCTGATGTTTCTCTGTAATTAGGTTGAAGTTAAACATTCTGAGCCAGAATACTGTTTAGGTGATCTGTCGCTCTCTAGGTGCCACGTCTGGAGGAACATAATACCCATCTCTCTCTCATAGATGATATTAATTTTTATCACTGATCAAGATGTCATCCAGTTTCTCCATTGTATTCTGTTTATCTTTTCTTCCTTTAGCAACTAACAAGCAGTCTGTGGAGATATACTGAAGACATTGCAAATATTTTGCTTCTCATCAAAATTTCCCCCTAGATTTGGTAACCATGATTCTTGTCTGACCCAGTTTTTGCCATAATGGTTGGAAAGTAATGATTTTCTAATCCCAGTGCTGCTTCTTTTTTTTTTTTTTAAGATTTATTTTTGTATTTATTTGAGAGAGAGCGAGCATGAATGGAAGGGGCAGAGGAAGAGAGAATCTCACGCAGACTCTCCACTGAGCATGGAGCCTGACTTGGGGCTCTGTCCCAGGACCCTGAAATCATGACCCCAGCCAAAATCAAGAGTCAGATGCCAGCTGCGCTACCCAGCCTACCCCGCCCAGTACTTCTTCCAGTTAGCTCTTGGCTATGGGCAAGAGACCTCCCTTCTTTTTTTTTTTTTTTTAAAGATTTTATTTATTTATTTGACAGAGACAGAGATAGCGAGAGCAGGAACACAAGCAGCGGGAGTGGGAGAGGGAGAAGCAGGCTTCCCCCCCGAGGAGGGAGCCCAATGTGGGGCTCGATCCCAGGACCCTGGGATCATGACCTGAGCCGAAGGCAGACGCTTAACGACTGAGCCACCTAGGCGCCCGAGACCTCCCTTCTTGATCAATCTATTTATTATCGGCATGGGCCCATGAATTATATGTTTTTAATAATTTACATTCTATTAATTTAATTATTTTAGTCTTCACTTTGTCACAGACTTGGCCATTGAGTGCTTCCTCAAGCTGACTCCTGTGTCTTTCTGACTGGTGTGGCTTTTTCTTTCTTTTTTTCTTTTTAACCTTTTATTTTTAAAGTTTTATTTATTTAAGTAATCTCTACACCCCACATGGGGCTTGAACTTATGACTTTGAGATTGAGTCGCATGCTTTTCTGAATGAGCCAGCCAGGTGCCCCTAAAAATCTTTTTATTTATAAATGTTAGATTTATGAAGGAGTTTACTAATTGCTTTTTTTGTATACAAGATCTGGAATCACATATGAACCATGACTCCTAGAGCAAATGATTGGCAGGAGAATGTGTTATTTTTTTTTTAAAAGATTTTGTTTATTTATTTGAATGAGAGAGCAAGCGAGAGAAAGCACAAGCAGGGGGAGGAGCAGAGGGAGAAGCAGACTCCCAGCTGAGCAAGAACCCCGGGATCATGACCCGACCTGAAGACAGACGCTTAACTGACTGAGCCACCCAGGTGCCCCAGGAGAATGTGTTTTGTTTTGTTTTTTTTTTTTTAAAGATTTTTATTTATTTATTTGACAGAGAGAGAGACAGCGAGAGAGGGAACACAAGCAAGGGGAGCGTGAGAGGGAGAAGCAGGCTTCCTGCGGAGCGAGGAGCCTGATGCGGGGCTCGATCCCAGGACCCTGGGATCATGACCTGAGCCGAAGGCAGACGCTTAACGACTGAGCCACCCAGGCGCCCCGAGAATGTGTTTTTAACACCCTCTAACTTGATGGAATTTCCCCAGGTCTTTAATTTCTTATAAAAATGTTCGTGCTTTGAGGATATTCAAATATTATTTCTGTAATGTTCAGTTAGTTGTAACTTCTTGATGATGCCTTACCTACCTTTTTTTCTGTGGGTTTCTATGTGAGTCTTCTAATCTAAAAGATTTCTGTCTTCTGGCAGAAGGATTTCCCACATTTTTTGCGTTGATAGGGTTTCTCTCCGTAACAGTCCCCTGACAGTAAGTGATTCTGTCTGGGTGAAGGTCTTCCCCACACATTACTCACCCAGTGCTGCTTCATTTTGTGACTTTTCTGATATAGCAGGTGTGACTGCTGCTGGAGGCACTCTCCGTTCATTCATTATTTTCATAGATCTTCTCTTAATGTGTGTTCTCTGATTCTGCATTGAGGGTTTGCCTTCGCGCAGAAGGTTTTCTTTCCTCAGCCCGTTCTTTGATATCCAAAGAGGTGTTCTTCTGGAAGAAAGGTTTCCCACGTTCTTTACAGGTATAGTGAATTCTCTGATGTAGAGTCAAGATGGGCTCTGACAGAACTTTTTCCTACATTCAATATCATAAGATCCCCCCACCATGTATTATCTCATGTTTTATAAGACTTCATAAAAAGATTTCCCTGCCTGTGTTACATTCATGTGATTTCTCTCCTGTATGGGTAATTTGAAGGGTAAATTCTGGCAGAAGGTTTTCTACCTTCATTACCTTCTAAAGGTTTCTCTTGTGTGTGTGGGTGCTCAGAAAGTGAGAACTGATTTGTGGCAAAAGGCTACTCCAAGTATGCCATTGTTAGTTTCCTCCCATAAATAAATACATATATATGTATATGTGTATATATATGTGTGTGTGTGTGTGTGTGTGTATATATATATATATTTTTTTTTTTTTCCCCTGGTGTTTGAGAGACTCAGTTTGACGATGACTTGTGACTAAAGATATGTTCGTGAAAGTTACAAAATTTCCTTTATGAATTCTCTAATTCTTGAGTTTTGACTTCACGCAGAAATATTTCTCACATTTGTTGGAGTCATAGAGCTTCCTTTTCATACTAGTGCTCATGTCCACTGGAGCTTTATGTTTTGGATAAGAGTTTCTCTACATTCACTGCATTTACTGGTCTCTCCCAGCCTGAGTTCTCTCGTATATAATGAAGACTGCCTTATTATCGAACATTTTCTCAATCTCTTATGGTGTAAAAATTGCTTCAAAACTGGAATTTTTTGATAGTGAAAATAGTCTTCCTTATGAGGCTTTTCTGACTTTGATGATATGCTCCTGGACCGGCTCCCATATGCATTTTCCTGCATTTAATATGGAGGATATTACATCTACTCTCACATCCACTTCTCAGTGAGATCATGAAGATGCTTCTTTTCACAGCATCTTTTCCTAATAATTAATTTTAAGATATATTTCAAAAGGTTACAAAATAACTTAGTCCTCTGAGAAATTCAGGGGAAGATAGGGGAGGAATGAGATCACAGTGGAGGTGCTTAGCACCTTGCTCCAAAATTTGTGTCAAAGGACTCTCCTCAGTCTACAGGTTTCCAGTCTTTTCCCTTCCTCTTCTTTTTTTTTTTTTTTCCTTTTTTTCTTTCTTCTTCTTTTTTTCCTCTCCTTCCTCTTCTGGTCTTGATCTCAATGGCAAATTAACCTTCTCAGAGAATCACTACCATCAAGATTAAAGGAATAGACTTAAAGTCAGGGTAC